TTTAATTTATATCACTTATAAATGTTTATAATTACATGTTTTTAATTTTTCACTCATGAAAATATTTTTTACAGAATTTATAAATTATTTTTAAGATTCAATCTTCCAGACAACTAACATTTCAGTCGTCCAGACGACTGAAAAGTAACTCAGCCCAACTCAGACAACTTACTAGGGTTATATTCGTAAAAATGTCTTCAGTTTTTTTGTTTGGTCACAGAGGACTATATTGTAATTTCATAGCCCTTTTAGGTTAGATTTGCATTTGATTCAAGTTGGGGTCTAGTATTGGGGTTAAAACCAAGTTGTGGGTTAGTTTTGGCAAAAACCCCATTTATCTTTTTGTTTCATTTATACTAAGAATAAAGATACGGGAAAAATTCTAGAATGACTCAAATTAATAGTGTTATTATTACTAGAATGACTCAATTTTTTTTTTTAATTTATTAAAATGTTGGTTAAAATTGTCTTTGGCTATAGTTATAAAAAAAATTAATGACCAAAGTGCCCATTGAATTAGGTCGTTGGTCGATTTATTTTTAAAAAAATAAATCTGTCGCACAATAAGTCTATTTTCTAAATCAGATAAGAAAATATAATATATTATAAAAGTGGTGGCGGATTTATTTAAATCGTCAAATTTCTTTCTACGGTAGATTTATTTTGTCTAATTTGTATAGAAAACTGATTTTTGAGATATGTATGTCGAATGACACAACATATTTGTTAAAAATGACAGATTTTTGTGATCAATTTAGTTTTGTATGACAGAGATATATAACCTATTTATATATTCGGTAGACTTGTCGACTTATGAGGTGACAGAAATTTTAGTTTACGAAGTGACAGATTTGTTGATTTTTGAGTTGGCAGACTTTTTAATTTACGAAGTGGCATTTACTAAACCAAACTATTTTTTTAGTTCTTTTTTATGTCGTGGGCAAGTTAATAAGAAATTAATTTCTAAATTGATGTGTATCCTATTTGAATCTAGTATTTAATTTTTAATATGAATCATTCTAATAGTTTTAGGATAAATTTGAATCATTCCAAATAATTCCTCTACACATAATGTTCATTCCATCAAAAGAGGAGCGAAACTACAACAATTCTTTATCAAATTATCTATAGCCGCCATATGAAACGTGTCTATTTTAAGAAGCATAAAAAATCTACATCAACAAAAGAGTAGGCCATGCAAATACAGAAATGAAAGCTTCGTCGTATGACTGTTAACAATTTCAAAAAAAGAAAATTACTGTTTATTTTTATATGATAAACTACATAAGAGGAATGATAAACCATAGTTTACTTAAGAAAACATTATTGGTAACATTTATTTTTAGAACATTCTTTTTCTAAACATAATTATTTTTATAGAACTTTAAGCAAATATATTTTTAATGAGGTAATCAATTCTTCGACTGTGCTAGTTGCATTATGTCTTCTAAGAAGAATGTGATATTAGAATGAGAAGAGCCTCCTTCATCCACAGCACTGTGAGCTAACTCTCCAAGCTCCTTGGCTCTTCTTCTTCTCTCCCTAGCATCCTCACCATCACCCATCAATTCTTCAACTGCCTTCTTCACACCTTCATTATCCACCAACACTCCTATCCTCTCTTCTTCTCCCCATTTCATAACCTCTTCAATCCCAGCTCCTACACCGACTTTAAGAACCTCCACGACTAGCTTCTGGTTGCAGAACTGGTCCCCAAACAATGGCCATGTAAGCAATGGCACACCTGATGTGATACCCTCAAGAGTTGAGTTCCATCCACAATGTGTCAAGAATCCTCCAACAGAAGAGTGTGAAAGGATAAGCACTTGAGGTGCCCATCCTTTTATGAGAAGCCCTCTCTCTTTGACCCTTTCTTCAAAACCACTCTCTAAGAACCACTCAGCGAGCTCATTATACTTTTCCCAACCTCTTATGACCCAAATAAAAGGTCTTTGAGTTTTCTCTAACCCTAGCCCTAGCTCCTTGAGTTGAGAGAGAGGAAGATTGCAGATACTTCCAAGGCAGACATATAGAACCGACCCTTCTTCTTTAGAATCAAGCCATTTAAAACATTCTTCTTGACCAATGACCGCCTTGTTCCCTCTCTCAGCTTGATCTGATCCTTTCTTGTTGCACAAGGAAACAGGTCCAATGGACCATACTTTCCCATCTCTAGCTTCTTTATAGTCTTTGACACAAGCTGGTTCTAACTCCTGAAATGTGTTGATGATTACACCGTAGGATGTGTTATCTGCTTCTACCATTGCGTCCAAGAAGTACGTCCAGTCTCTAGCCTTTTCATCGGTGCTCACAGGAACTTGAGGCTTTGTGAATTGAACTCTGTGAGGAAAACTAGGAACATAGAAATACTCTTTGTCAGACTTTAAATTCTGCAAGATCTCTATGTTTTCACGTAAAACATGCATGCACAAAAGACAAAAGCAAGACGCTCCATGGAAAACGATCTTTGGTATGTTGAAGGCCTTTGCGATTTTGCTTGTATAAAACAAACAAAAATCAGAAACTAGACAGCTAGGTCTAGGTTTCATCTCTTCCAGCAGCTTCATGACCGGCTCTTCAAGCATGTTAGCTGCTTTAAAGAATGGTACCATGAACTCCATTGAGTCAAGGGAATCTATATTGTCTTGTCCTTCAGGCAGCCCAGCTTCTTGATATGGAAGCTTCACATGCACTACGTTGATGGGCAAACCAGACTCGATGGCACGGTTTAAGACATTCTTGAACCTCTCTGCGTTGTGAGGCGTTGTGACAATTGTTATGGTCACACCACGCTGAGCTAGGAGCCTTGCGATATCAACCATGGGAATCATGTGGCCCTGAGCCATGAATGGAAAGAGAACAAAGTGAAGAGGAGGATGAACTTGTTGGGTTTTTTGGGAAGCCATAGTGATTTCAGCTCAGTGAATAACTTTCGAGTTTGTATTGTGGCTGCCTTATTATCGACTGATCGTGAGGTTATATAATGTGTATAAGACCAACATGATGTAGTCGATGACGTCAAACAACACATGAAGTTGTTAGAGCATCCCCATTAGTGAACTGAGGCGAACTCAATTCCTAAAATTATTATTTTTTTCGTTTGATTTTTAAAAAATTAATTAAAAAAAAAATCAATCGCGGGTCATTACGTGTCGTGTGGCCTATAAAACAGTGGTTGAACCCGTTTTTTACCAGCAACCTCACTTGATACGGATTCACCAAAATCAGCTTATTATATATATACATTTTTTAGAATTGTGTGAACTTTCTTTTAAAATTTTTAATGGGTATGCTCTTATAAGTAAAAGAAAATTACGTTTAATTAGAGACATTTCGTGGCCAATACTTTCCTCCGTTAACATTTTGTGACCATTCTGCGCCTCCTAGTGTTTTTTTATTCCCCTTAAATGTTACTAAGAGGTAATTAAAATCAAGATACTTGATCCGCAAGACACATAATCAATTTTAACTCTCTCGGACATTACCAAGATCAATTTGTCTTTGAAACTTCAACGTTTAATTTCAAAGTCTTCTTCTAATCAAGGTTCGCCCACGGTAATAAGTATTAAATTCAACTAAAGATTAAGAACCAATGCGAATTAAACACGAAAGAAAGTAAGAAATTTAGAAGAAACACGGTTGGTAAAGAAAGGAAGAAACTTATTAATTAGAAAGAAAACATGGTTGAGTTAAATACGTGTTTTACGATTAATATTAGTATATTGGTTATGTGAATTGATACTTTATAATTTCTTGACATAATCTTAGAAGCATAATATTTTTTTTTTCTATTCAGGTAAACTATTTTATCTACTAATTACATTTTTCTAATTCTAAAAATATACTTGCAAGTAAACTCGGTCGAACATGGTTCATTAACTTAAAAATATTAAAGTAGGTCTAAAAATTCAAAAGTTTAGATACATTCCAAATTTGAAACTTATAATTACAAGAAACAATAAACACTGCATCTTTATTTTTAAGAAATTATATATAGTCATTATTTTAAAACATTACTTGCCTCAGAATAATTTGAGATGGCTCTGCCTTTAGATACCAATTTTGATAATAAACCAACCTGCCTTTAGGAATGTCAAACAGGTTGGTCCGTCCCGTCCCGTCCCGTACCGCAGCGGACTCGTCTTTTCGCGGGTCAAGGCGGGTCAGGCCCGCGCGGGCTGCGGTCTCCAGAAGGCCGGCCCAATCCCGTTCCGCCAATATGTACAGTCCTTTACAAGTCGTCCCGCGGGCTTAACAGAATGCAAAATGAGTGTGTGTCATGCGAAGTGATTCATCATCCACACTCCTGAATAACGAAAGAAACACTCTAATTCATTATTATAGATACCCAAATATACTATGGCAATCCACTCTTCTGATAGTAGTACACTTCATCTCTCTCTCTCGTTGTTTCAGGTTGCGCAGAAATGGAATGGAGCTGTGGAGGCTAGGGTTGCGGGACATCCAAATCCCGCGGTTACCATGAGGCCCGTCCCGCTTTGGCCCGTCTCGCCACAAGTCCGTCCCGCCACAAGACCTGCCCGCAAGGCCCGCTAATCTGCGGGATTCCAAATCCTCGGCCCAAACCCGCCCCGCAGCAAGCCTTAACGTACCCGGCCCGCGGTCCAAGCCCTCCTTTGACATTCCTACCTGCCTTGCGATAATCCAATGAATATGTTATTTTATTGATACACCAAAATATAAGTCACTCCAGAATCAACAATAATCTACTCACAAATTTAAGACAGTTAAAAGATTTTTTAAATGTATTCTGTCATTAATAATTATTACCAATTCTAATAATGTTTGTTATTTTAAAAACTATAAATTTTACTCAAATATAATTCTATTTAACTAATATTTTATTATATACATAAATTTAGTTAATACATATAATAATTTATATAAAATTATATTTTTACTATGAAAGTATTAATAATTTCATTAAAATATAAAACACAAATATTGAATCATTTTAGATCTTAAAACAAAATTATATAAAAATCTGTGGATCAATTTATAAATAAAACTTTGACAATGAAATTAATATTGTGAAACTTGAAGAAATATTATTCATAAATCATTTTCCATAAAATGATGTACAACAGGGATCATCTAGCATGTTATTCTAGGATTCTTGTGTAAACATTACATGACAACATCTACATAAGAAATGTACTTTCTATAACAATTAAATCTCCCTGTTGTAAAATTGAATAAGAGCCTAGCTAAAACCACTGTATAAAGTTCTACTAGTGAAATTTGTATGATATAACATTATTTTTACGTATCTTTTGAAACATGTGATGACTTGATCTTTTGAAAGTGAGCAATATAGACTATGAATGAACGAGAACAAAAGGAAGCTGAAAATATCAAAAAGGCTCAAACTCGATGTTTCAGTACTATCACAAAACATTAACTCTTACAATTTCTCTGAAATGAATTTTATATTAATCACTTGGTTTATGAAGTAGATAAGTATTTGGAATATTTCCAAATATCTTATTATTTATTTTTATGATTATTTAAATTTAGATAATTATTTTGCTTAGAGTTGTAATCAGTTTTTTCATTAATTAATATAAAATAGAGAATATTATTTTTATTCTTTGTTTGGTAGATCATTGGTGATCTCAACGAATTTAGGAAGACAATGATCTTAGGTATTCTTAGACTAAATAAGATAAGTGTGATTTTCATAGCTTTCCGGGTATTCTCAAAATCAACGGATCACTAATTCTATCCCTATAAATTTCCGCTACATCAGTTTAAAATCCACCAATAATTCTAGAAAATCTCACATGTTTTAGGGACGCAATGAGGTTAACTCAATTTGATAATAGGTGTAATTCGTTAATAAAAGCTTACAGATATGGTTAAAGAAGTCTAAGCTAACTTTTGGAAGATGATATGAGTGTAACCAAAAAAAAGAAGATGATATGAGAAAGTTTAGAATCCACCAACCATCTTCTTTTTTTTTGGTCAAACTCATATCATCTTCCAAAAGTTATCCCTGACTTGTCTTCTGCTGGACGTGTTGGACTAAGTCTCCTATCCTCCAAATAAAGCAAATGTAGAATGTTTATATTTCTTTTAACAAAGACATAAATCAATTATTGGATTGTGCTAGTTGCATTATGTCTTCTAAGAGTAAAGTAATATTAGAGTGAGAAGAGCCTCCTTCTTCCACAGCCTTGTGAGCTAACTCTCCAAGCTCTTTGGCTCTTCTTCTCCTCTCTTTTGCATCATCACCATCACCCATTAACTCTTCCACTGCCTTCTTCACACCTTCTTTATCCACCAACACTCCTATCTTCTCTTCTTCTCCCCATTTCATAGTTTCTTCAATCCCAGCTCCTACACCAACTTTAAGAACCTGCACAACAAGTTTTTGGTTGCAGAACTGGTCTCCACACAATGGCCATGTGAGCAATGGAACACCTGAAGTGATTCCTTCTAGAGTTGAGTTCCATCCACAATGTGTCAAGAATCCTCCAACAGAAGAGTGTGAAAGGATAAGCACTTGAGGTGCCCATCCTTTTATGAGAAGCCCTCTCTCTTTGACCCTTTCTTCAAAACCGCTCTCTAAGAACCACTCAGCGAGCTCATTATACTTTTCCCAACCTCTTATGACCCATATGAAAGGTCTTTGAGACTCTTCTAAGCCTAGGCCAAGCTCCTTGAGCTGAGACAGAGGAAGATTGCAAATACTTCCAAGGCAAACATATAACACTGACTTATCTTCTTTAGAATCAAGCCACTTAAAACATTCTTCTTGACCAATCACCGCCTTGTTTCCCCTCTCAGCTTTGTCTTCTCCTTTCTTGTTGCACAAGGAAACAGGTCCAATGGACCATACTTTTCCGGCTCTAGCCTCTTTAAAATCTTTGACATAAGCAGGCTCCAACTCCTGGAATGTGTTGATGATTACACCATAGGATGTAGCTTCTGCTTCCACCATTGCGTCCAAGAACTCCTTCCAGTCTCCAGTTGCGTTGATTCTCACGGGAACTTGAGGCTTTGTAAATTCAACTCTATCAGGAAAATTAGGAACAAAGAAATACTCTTTGTCCGACTTCAAATTATGCAAGATCTCTAGGTTTTGGTGCATAACATGCATACACAAAAGACAAAAACATGACATTCCATGGAAGACGATCTTTGGAATATTGAATGCCTTGGCGATTTTGCTTGTATAATGCAAACACAAGTCGCAGATAAGACAGCTAGGTCTAGGTTTCATCTCTTCCAGCAGCTTCATGACCGGCTCTTCAAGCATGTTAGCCATTTTAAAGAATGGTACCATCAACTCCAGCGAGTCCAGGGAATCGATATTGTCTTGTCCTTCAGGCAGCCCAGCTTCTTGATATGGAAGCNCTTGGCGATTTTGCTTGTATAATGCAAACACAAGTCGCAGATAAGACAGCTAGGTCTAGGTTTCATCTCTTCCAGCAGCTTCATGACCGGCTCTTCAAGCATGTTAGCCATTTTAAAGAATGGTACCATCAACTCCAGCGAGTCCAGGGAATCGATATTGTCTTGTCCTTCAGGCAGCCCAGCTTCTTGATATGGAAGCTTCACATGCACTACGTTGATGGGCAAACCAGATTCGATGGCACGGTTTAAGACATTCTTGAACCTCTCTGCGTTGTGAGGCGTTGTGACAATTGTTATGATCACACCACGTTGAGCAAGGAGCCTTGCAATATCAATCATGGGAATCATGTGGCCCTGAGCCATGAAAGGGAAGAGAACAAAGTGAAGAGGAGAATGAACTTGTTGAGGTGTTTGGGAAGCCATACTGGTTTCAAATCTGTGAAGAAGTTTTTGAGTTTTGTTTTGCTTGGATTGTGAGGGTGTAATCGCGAGGTTATATAATGGGTATGAAAAAAGGCTTCACCAAAATAATGTTAATCAACATAAAGTGTACGTCAAAGACAGATTATTAATTACGTTCAAGAAGACACAAAATCAAATTGAACTCTCACGGACATTATCAAAACCAATTTGTCTTTGAAACTTCAACGTTCAATACAGAGCTTCCAAATCAACCTTGGCCACACAGCAATATCTATTAAAGGCAGCAAAAGTCAAATTTAGTAATGGACTAACATGTTATTCTAGGAGTCTTGTATAACAACTACATGATGACTTCTATATAACAAATATACTTTTCTTATACATTATGTTGAAAATTGAAAAATAATCTATCTAAAAACTATTGTATAACATCCTATTAGTGATGTATGATGTAATATATCATTTTGTGTATTTGATGATCTGATTGAATAATTTGTGTTTACTTTTATTTTTTAATTATAGCATCATATATGAAAAAACTTCTATATATATGATCAGATGATAAGATTTATAATTTTCAAACAAAGATTAGAAAGGTGAATGCAAAAGGAGCAATATAGAAATGAGTAAACAAAAACAAAACGAAGCTGAAAATATCAAATTTATATGAAAGGTTTAGAATCCACCAAAATTCTAGTTGTTCATAAAAGTTTTTAGATGTGTTTAAAAGAAATTTAACCAAAGTTTTTAAACTTGACTTCAGAAAGTGAATGTTATTATTATCACTGACTTTTTCTTCCTATCCACCAAATGAAGAATAATGTATAAATGTTTCTATATCTTTTAACTATGACATAAATCAATTATTGGATTGTACTTTGTTGCATTATGTCTTCCAAAAGGGAAGTGATATTAGAATGAGAAGAGCCTCCTTCTTCCACAGCCTTATGAGCTAACTCTCCAAGCTCTTTGGCTCTTCTTCTCCTCTCTTTAGCTCCATCACTCTCACCCATTAACTCTTCCACTGCCTTCTTCACACCTTCTTTATCCACCAACACTCCTATCTTCTCCTCTTCTCCCCATTTCATAGGCTGCTCAACCCCTACTCTCACACCCGCCTTTAGCACCTGCACAACTAGTTTCTCATTACAGAATTGGTCTGCAAATAGAGGCCATGTAAGTAGTGGTAGACCAGAGGTTATCCCTTCCAGAGTTGAGTTCCATCCACAATGTGTCAAGAATCCTCCAACAGAAGAATGTGTGAGTATAATCATCTGAGGAGACCATCCTTTGATGAGAAGTCCTCTGTCTTTGATCCTTTCTTCAAACCCACTCTCTGAAATCCACTCAACCAACTCTTTGTTTTTCTCCCAACCTCTTATAACCCAAATGAAAGGTCTTTGAGATTCTTCTAAGCCAAGGCCAAGCTCCTTGAGCTGAGACAGAGGAAGATTGCAGATACTTCCAAGACAAACGTAGAGAACTGACCCTTCTTCTTTAGAATCAAGCCATTTAAGACACTCATCTTTATCAATATCTGATTTGTTTCCCCTCTCAGCTTTATCTTCTCCCACCTTGTTACACAAGGAAACAGGCCCAATGGACCATGCTTTACCTGACCTTACCTCCTTGTAGTCTTTGACATAAGCAGGCTCAAGTTCTTGAAATGTGTTGACCACCACTCCATAGGATTTCTTATCAGCTTCGTTCATTTCATCCAAGAACTCCTTCCAATCTCCAGGAACATATGTTTCAACAGGAACTTGAGGTCTTGTGAACTCAACTCTATCAGGAAAGTTAGGAACTGTGAAGTACTCTTTGTCTGACTTCAAATTCTCCAAGAACTCAAGATTTTCGCGTAAAATATGCATACAGAGAAGACAAAAGCAGCACATGCCATGGAAGAGGATCTTTGGTATATTGAACGCCTTGGCGAGTTTGCTTGTGTAAAACAAACACATGTCAGAGATTATGCAGCTTGGTTTAGGGCTCATCTCTTCCATGAGCTTCTGAACCGGTTCTTCAAGCATGTTAACCGCTTTAAAGAAAGGTATCATCAGCTCCATGGACTCAAGCAAATCTATATTCTCTTTTCCCTCTGGCATGCCAGCTTCTTGAGATGGAAACTTCACATGCACTACTTTGATGGGCAAGCCAGACTCAATGGCACGGCTTAGAACGTTCTTGAACCTCTCTGCGTTGTGAGGTGTGGTGACAATGGTTATAGTCACACCTCGCTGAGCCAAGAGCCTTGCAATATCGACCATGGGAATCATGTGGCCTTGAGCCATGAAAGGGAAGAGAACAAAGTGAAGATGAGGATAAGATTTTTGAGCTGTTTCAGAACCCATGCCTGATGATGATTCAAGAGGCTAAAAAAGCTCACAAGTTTTGTTTTGATTCTGGATTATATTTGTGAGAACTTTATATAGAATGAAGATACGTGAAGAGCAAAACAAAAAAAAAAAAAAAAAACTGGAACTATAGACGTAATAGATGACGTAAAACTAAAGTTTACTTGCCAAACATCTTCGATACAGTCCACAAATTGTATTGCTACAAGACATTCTTAGCCAATCCTTAGTTTGTCCCTTTGTGACCTCTTAGTGTCTTAGAAGAAGAGAATTCTCAGACACAAAAACAACAACTTGGAGGCTCGATAGCCACATCCACTGCAAGTTTGCAGCTCTTATGAATTACTACAATAAAGGCAGTGCACCTCAAAGTGAAATTGAATTTGTGTTTGGACTCTTTTCAAGACAGCTATATGTGTGTTGTGACTACAAGTGTTTGTAGAACAAAAGACTCTTCTTAGAAATCTTGTAAGAAACTCTAACAAGATTGTGATTTCACTAGAGATAATAATAGTAGATATACACATCCAAACACAATATATAGCGCAGCAAAATATAAACAACAAACGAATATATAACACATCAAAATAGCCATAATAAATGTCTGTTTTTTTTTTCAAGCAAGGCAACTCTCCAGTAACATTAACAAACCATCCATCCAGTTAATAACTTGATAGAACAAACGCATAAGTTGATGTGCTACAAACAAGATACTTTCCTTATTACATAAAACCTGATTACACGAGAGTTATAGAGTTTAGTTCCTTTGCTTTTCTAAATCTTTCTCATCTTCCTTCGTTTCCATCTTTACATAGCTTCTTTCAAATTCCTCTTTTGCTGAAAAAATCATTGAACAACCACATTAAGTTTTATGTTTCATTTCAAGCACATTAAGGTTCAATGACTAATAATTAACCAACAAAACCTCTCTGAAAGTAAATCTGGAGGATGATATATGAAATGACCAGACAGATGGTCCTACAGCATCTCTAATTTTATCCCTCATCATTAGCAGTTTTGCCATCATAATTCTGCACAATAACAAAAATTAAATCAATTACATCTGTGATATATCAGGGAATGTTATCTTATTAGATGCATAATTAACTGACTGTCACTTACTTGCGTACAGACTGTTGGAAAATTAATCTGGTGATCTTCCTTAGTAACGGTGAGACAGCAAGTACACATACCAAAGCTCCTCCAGCAAGGCAAGCATCTTCTGAGCTCTGGAGATAACAATTTTGTTCAAACAAGATGACTTTCAATTGAAAGTAAGCAAAAACAAAAAAAAAAAAATTTACCAGAGCTGAGTACATGAACACTGCAGAAGAGCTCAATTCCTTTGGTAGACGCTTCATTACCTGCATATAAAAAAAAAAAACAATAAACAAAATAAATTCTAGCCAAAATGTCAACTTAAAACAAGAAAATAGATACTAAACCTGATAGAGAAGAATGAAGCTAGCCATGAACACACCAGACACATAGGACAAGATGCAATAGAATGCAAATGATCTGCTGAGTGTAGAAGCCCAGGTGAGTAGACAGGTTCCAAAAACTAAGAATCCTAGGCGATAGGCAAACCGTTCTGCAAAACATGAAAAGGAGTAAGTAAAATAAATTAAAAATTAAGAAAAAAAAAAGTAAAGAAAGAGTAGTGAAATGCAAAAGCTGACCTTCTACTGTAGACACTTGCAAAGTGGCACTGCATGAGTAAGCTACACGTAGATGAGATGGAATGACGAGAGACTCGAGAGCATAGCCGAGAAACACAAAAGCAACGAGGATTACGACCATGAAGGGAAGATAGCGATATTCAATACTTTCCACTGACCTGAAACACACAAAAGCAACTTCAATACCAAGTGCCACTAAACATACAAGAAAAACTACCACACAACCAACCAAGTTATTAGGTAAAGAAATCGACATCTCGCTCGTCACGTCGCGGATAAGGTCAGGGCAAGGCTCTTGAACTAGTACAGGAGTTTCCATCAAACCTGGTAAGCTAAAGACTTAATCTTACTGAACTTGTGTGTATAGGAGATGAAACCCACACTCCAAAGAAGAAGAAACAAATTTAAGACTCTTTACCGAATCTTTTTTTGCTTCTCCTCAACCTCCAATAGATATTCCTTCAATATCTTCTTGCCCTCCCTTCTTACGTCTCTCTATAATTTCAGGTCTGTAGAATGAGTGTTAGGAGGCAAACAACTAGGCTTAGGAAGTTTATATAATGTTGTAAAAGTTAAAAGCTTCATATAAGAACATTCAGCAAAAAAAACATTCAGAGAGTATTAGCATCTTGCAAATGCTAATTTAAGAGGCGTATTGAATTGCAGATTCTAGAGTGTTTTGATTTTGTTTTAAAATTTTCTTTTATTCAACTAAAACTTTATAAAAAAAAATTCAAATCTAGTGTTATTAAATATGACATTTATATAAAGTCATTAGAAATGATTTACAATCCACTGTTATTCAATGAATACTTTTTAAAAACCAAATCATATCTACTCTTATTCAAAAATAAAAAATAAAAATCGGAAAAAAAAAACAGAAAAAGGATTTGATGCAAGCTTTGGATCATTTCTAAGAATATCTCCAATGTAAAACTCCATTTTTTCCTCTAAAATAGAGTAAAAGTGATTATGAAGTAAAAATGTTTCAAACCCCACTTTATTTCTAACTCCATAAATCCTATTTGTACACCAGAAATTCCTATTTGTACACCTCTTCCGATTCAAATCTTGACAATATCTCCACACTCTTCTCTCAAAAGCACGAAGATCTGGATAATTTGGGTGTCCAACAAGAAAGAAACGACATCTGTGTATAGTAGTCAATCCGTGTTTTGAGTCCCTGTTCAAGAGACCTAGCTTCAACACAATTTCAACCTCTTTTTGATCATACTCAGAACCCATGTTCGGATCTACAGCATCCAAGATATTACCCTTGTTCCATAACCCGAAAACCCAATCCACAAGCAAGAACATCTCGTGCTGGATCTCTATAGGACGTCTACCATATCCAACTTCTAGTAAGAACGCCCCAAACGCAAAAACATCGGTCGCCCTCGTGGCACGTCTTGTCCGTGATCATACAACCAAGAATGACGTTAATCCTCTGTTTCCCAGTTAAGTGTCACCTCTGGCTTGTTGTACAAGTACCTGTCTAAGCTACCATTAGGCATGAAGTCATACACAAGTAAGAAGCTCACCTTTCCGGCGACAGTGAGGGACTAAGCTCCGATGAGTCATCCGACCAATACTTACTGTTTCATCCCAATCACAATATAACAAGAAGCCTCAAAAAATCACAATCAATAATTGAGGAACAGAACGACCAGAGCCGACAACACTTTTGGTTCCTTATAAGATGAAAACATATTAACACTTTAACAACAAACACATTACGACACACAAACCTGTACCTACGGATCTATGTATATTGCAAAAAAACCATTTATCTTTTGGCAGCAACCGTTTCGAATCTCTTCGATTAACGAAGAGAACATCTAACGTAAAAGCTTGGAGAACATTGGAAGAAACTTAAGCATATCCTTTAAAAAAAACATTAAATTCAAACCAATGATTTGATAACATATAGATTTTGTTTGTAACATTAATATTCAAAGGAGATAATTAATCCCCTATATACAGTGACACACACAAACACTCCATATTAAACTTTGCTCAGATCATATGATCTTTCTCTGCCTGTAATAATTAAAGCTTCTCCAAAAACTCTAGCCGTAGAACGTCCTTGACAAGTACATAAACCAGTTGTGCTTAGCGGTCGATGAAAGACTTATTCATCAGGTCGAACGCATTATCCATGAACTGCATTATCAGAGGTACAAAAGAGAGAATCAAAATTGTTAAATTACACCCAAAAAAAAAGATGAGAGAAAACATATATGGATTGAGTATAATCTTAAAAGTCTTACAAAACATGTACAAATTGCTAATGTAACCAATGAGGTGTTCATGCTATGTTCTGAGCACATTTCATTACTACTTACGATAAAGAAGGGTTAGACCAGGAACAATCTCACAACACTAAGCCTTACTTATAGATCTTCATTTTTAAGCTTTGTCTTAAGAAACCAGCTAGCCCAAGAAGAACCTAAACCCCTCTAAGAAAAACTTCAAATCACACACTAACCTCAGGTAACTAATATTGGCACAAGTGAAATTACATGTAATAATTCAGAGACAAAAAGCAATAACATGTCATGTCTTTTTACCTTGCCAAGCATCTTGAGCTCTTTTTCCACAGGTTCCAAGAACTTAAGATCAACTTCAACAGGCCACACCTATACAGAGATCAAACCAAACATGATCAAAATTCAAAACAATTGTTAAAAAACTTTACTTTACTACTACTCAATCATTTAATCTCTCGAAAGCTCAAACATTTAGTCGTTATACCTTAACACCAAGAAGACGAAGAGGCGTGACTTGGCCAGGAACAACGCATTCAGGTCCTGCAGATTCAAGCACTGCTTCCATCGCTAAACCACCTCCCACTGGATTAGGATGCTACAGACAAAAAAAAAAAGAATTAATCAAACGCAAAATTGAGTGTACAAAAGTCTATTTAACAAGCAAATAAAAACCTTCATGACGGCAATGGCGTAATCGGTCTCTGGGGTTTGAGAGATGGTGAGAACCGGTGAGCGGCTGATTCGAGGTAGTGGTTTTACTGAGGAGACACGCCACGGTGCGTCCTCTGCGAGAGTTGTTGCTGATCCTCCTCCTTTCTTCGCCATTTTTCACCTTAAAAGGAAGATTATCTTCTTCTTCTGGATAGATAGGAAGGTTTTATGTGATTACGAAAGTGAGAAGGCTTTGTGGTTTAGCTTTGGGATCGTGTTCGTGTGCTTGTTAAAAGAGTCTCCATTTTTTTCGGTTTCTCCTTCAATTATTTACCCCTCTGTTATGCATTTAATTACGTAACTGCCAACACTTACTATTGGGCTTACAGTCTGGCCCACTCAACAAGGTTTGTGACTAGAAGTTGAGTATCTGGTCCTCGATTCATCGTTAACACTCAGAGGTTGATCAAGGCTTGAGTCAAGGATCTTCCGACCATCAGATTCCAAATGAACAAGTAGATCTTTCTGTTACAAACCTGAATGTTGAAATCCTTGAAGGTTCTCATAATATCATAAAAGAATATCAATTACCTTAGACTAAGGCCAAGTAAAAGAAAACCGTTTACACAAAATCAAGTCAGTCTTCAATCAATGTATAGTCAAAGCTCAAAGCTCAGTTCTGTAGTAACACAAGATTCAAGCCTAGGGAAGTACATAAATAAGATTCCAAAAATATAAAACCCAAATCTATGAGCTTTCAGTGACAGGTTTCACAAACTCTACAGAATCAGCTCTTTTACATTAAGTCTCAACGTTCGCTCTGTTTCCGGCAAGGATGATGGAGATCTCGAGTCCGCGACTGAAGGCTTGGTTGAAGAGGAGACGAGACTGGAACGTCGAGATGAATGGGAACCATGAGAGGAGAGCAATGGGAGCAAAGATAAGCATACCCATCGCAGCATCATAAATGCGTCCAAACTCACGTACTGTTTCCCACAACCCAAACAGCTTGATCACCCGCTTCCATGGGATGGCTATGGACAGTATTGCCCAGCCTGTCGGAATGAAGCCAAGTACACATGCGAACATGTCTGGAATGGATAGTTCTGTCAATGCGATGGCTAGAGCGATGAGGGCGATGACTGTGAGTGACACCACTCCCTGCAGGAAACGCAGAGCCAGCAGAATGCTGCTAGACTTCCTTGGGCTATACCAGAATAGCTGAAGTAACAAAGAGACAAATTACAAATGTTAGCGGATAAATTTGAAACGTAACATCAAGTCTAGAGATGAAAAGAAGCTAACGAAACTCTACCTTGAACAGGAGCACAACTGCAACCAACACAATCCACGAGTAGCCATATATCTGCAATGTAGAAAACATATTAACTTTCTTGCAAAAACAATTTTCAAATTCTCGATTAAACTAATTAAATACAAGCGAAAAAAGTTAGCTTTACCGCAAGTGAGGTGTCTTTTCCAGTGAGATTGAGCTTGTACACGATGCCATATTGAAAAAAGAAGAACCTCAAGCTCAAAATGGTCTCCAGAATCCGTCCTCTTAATGTCTGGATATGCATCTGTGAAGGAACCCATGATATTTTAGTTACAGACACTTGAGCGATATGGGGTACAATAACAAATACACTAAAACAGGAAATATTGGACAAACCTGTTCTTCCTCCCACCACGACTCCCAACTGAGCTCTCCCTTTACTCCTACTCCACCTTTGTACATCAACCAACTGACCCAGTTATCGAAATCCTCCACAGTCCTAAATCAAGCAGGTGAAATTAAATGTCAATATTGAACACAAGAATTTAAGATGTGACACCACAGGTAATCAACTGAATATGAAAAGGAATGAAGGCCAAGCAACAGAACTTTTACTTACTTTTGCCATTCAAATCCAGAAGGGTTGAAGATGTACGGTGCAAATAGCCAGGAGATTACGAGGAACCAACTGCTGATGGTCAGTAGAACGAACGAAACGGCACCTCCATCTGTATACCCGTAGGCAATGTAGACGATCAGCAGTAGAGCTACTTCAAAACTGCACAAAGAAAGAGGTTAATTACATCAGTCAATTCACATTGTAACTGATATTGAACTTTTGGAAGCTCTTATTCCCATTGTGAATATCTAGAGCATACCAGAGGACTTACGCTTTCACGAAATGACTTCTAGAATAGAGTCTGTAATTGTCCGCAAACTTGATGTGCTGGACCACAAAGCCTCTACCAGTTGCTCGATACTGTTGATCAAACAAAAGATGAACACACGTTTGGAAAAGTTTACAAGCAGAAAGAGAAGGTAAATCTTCATTTTCATGTGTACAAGCAAAATTACCTTGGCACCACCGTGGAGGATAGTACGTCCAAAGTAATGAGTCCTTGTCCCGAGTGAAAATGTGAAAAAGACCGAGCACAGCTGAAATTGCATCGTAATAAAGCTGAAAATAGCCTGTTACATGAAAACATTACGCTTCATGAGAGCTATTTCTATTTTGTAAGCAAAAGAAAAAAAAAAAAGAAAGGATTGATCGACCAACCTTCAGCAACCCAAGTTCAAGTATGAAACCCATAACCATAGGAACGGCAGTAAAGACTCCAATCTGGACCAAAAACTGTGCATTGAGCGCAGCATCCAATGCAGTGTTACCAGAAAGTTTGGCTACTCTTGAGATTGCACGATCAGAGCCCGAAAAGGCCTGAAAAGACCAAGAAGTATATTATATCGAATGGAGTGTGTCAACTATAAAGACGTGCCTTAACAAATAAAAGAAACACACAAAAATGAAATCACTGCACAGAATCTTTTGATTTTTAAAAGGGTAGGTCAAGTACTATGGATTACCACACATTCACTAAAGCTTAGTACATAGAGAAATACGCTCTAGGATTTAAAAATATAGTGGACAACAAAAACAAACAGTATCCATACTAAAACTTGCAGTAAACAAAATTGTTTTAATAGAAAGCATTCGCTACTCTTCACATGGGAGAGAGAAATTACTACTCATTATTTGATAAAGAAGAAACACTGAAAAAAGGATCCATGACATACCAGATACGCTCTTCCATATAGAAACACGTACACAGTAAGGACGGTCATCTGCACCAAAAAGAAAGTTTTACTACATGTAATAAGGGAAACAGAAGTGTAGACACTAGATAAGGAGAGTACCATTGTGCAGACATAGAATCCAACAGTTGTGAAGTAGAACGACATCATCCTAAAGAAGTCAAACAGCTGACCAATCCTGTAGACATCCCTACTAAGAACTTGTTCTCCATTTCCACCTGCTACCTTCCCTTCAAATAGGGCAATCTGGTTGAGTCCTACATCTCTTCCTTTACCAACCTGCATGAACGAAGATGTATAGATCACGTTTTCCGATCGACAGGAGATACTGGTCAAGTAAAGACGTATTAAATGTAAGCAAGTCGTTGACCTGAATGTACTCATGGTGGGTGATATTTCCCTGTCTGAGTGTCGAATTAAATCCTAAAAAATATTAGAGTTGAGCTCAGTCAGAAATGGTAACATGTAGTGTATCACAAACCATTAGCACAAAGGATAAAAGTATTACAGTAACGAATTCAACATTTATTTAATGAATAAACTTATGTACCAGCATATATATCTTCACTGATGTTTATAACACGGGATGCTTTACTGATCCCACCGCGAGTTATATGAAATACTCTATCGAACACATCTGGATGCCCATAGTGCATTCGAACTCTGCAAGATTAGTTTAGCACAGATTAAAACTAAGCTGTCACTAAAAAGTGGAAATAGATCGAATTAAAACAATCCAATAAACCGGAAACAAGTAATAATATCAATTAAAAGGAAACAGATGAGGAGATTAAACATGGACAAGCTCCACAATAAAAGATTCAAAATTACTAAGTTAAAAATCTGAAGCGAGTATACTCACTTAAGTGGATATGCTAAGACACGTTGACCCAGTGTCACAAAACTGGTTTCTTGATTAGACATAAACCACGCCAATGATGAAACACTGCAATATAAATTTAACATCAAGGTAAAGTAACAATAAAATATGTAACATAACAACTAATTTTTCAAGGAAACGACTACAAACCTTCCCGTGAAAACATGCTCTCTAACGCCCAAAATAGTAGGACGTCGAATTCCATGTTTTCCATGGAACTCCTCAAGTAGATTCCTCATTTTGATTGCCTCCTCGAGATAATTGTCCTGAAGACAAAAAGAGGATTATAGTGGATCGGAAAAAACATTTGGTGAAGTGCCACAAAACGAACGACGCCAGCATATTACTGCTACTTAAATTTACCAATCCTTGTTATATAGGATAAGAAAGTGACAATTGGCAACGTAATGATGGCCTAACGCGGAACTTAAGACAATCAATATCCAAGCATGTATGACAGGTTTAGCTTAATTCCAGTACGACTTTCTCATTCAAAACACAACTTTTACTACGCAAAATTTTTTAATGATAATGCCATGACAGAGAAATGATGAATAACCTGATTCATATCTATGGTCTGGATGGCTTCACCACGCGTGAAAACGATCGCGTGATTTTGATTCTCAGGCTTTCCTTCTCCAAGTTTAGGATCTCCGGGAAGTTTAATTGAATAAATTTCCTGTAGCAAAATTGAGACTTATTGTGTGATGTAAATCATTACCCAGATCAGGAAAATAAAAACCATTGGACCAAAACCAATATTCGTTTTCCGTGCAATTCAACATCCAAAACCTTTTTGCCAAATTAACCACTGTCAACCTCAACAGAAATATCATGTATACCTGATCTTTTCCGTGGATGTCAGCTTTTACTAGCTTAGAATAGAATTCCTTTTTCCCTTCCACACCGACGTCCTCTGAGTGTATGAAAGCGACTCGAAGTGCCTCAAATCTAGTTGCGACAGTAAATATGGGTTAATAAAATTTCTGTAAGATGATATCATTAAAAGATGTTCCATAAAGACTAAATACAAAGATAAAGAACAAACTCATATTCACTCATGCATTAAAATATATATATATATATTGCAGGTCAAATAAAATATTGCAGGTAAAATAGAACATCAGTAAGGTTCCAGGTCAATCTCGTATCTCGACAAACGAAGAACAGACAACAAAAGATGAGACGAACTGAAATACCATTTAGCCATTCCTATAAGATTAAACTTTATGACAGAAAGAATGATTATAGCCTCAAAATTAACAAACATATACAAATGATTGGCGG